ATTCTAGCACCGAAATCCTGGTTTCGATGGTTGGAATGCGGTCAGAGTTTGGGGAAAGAGGACATCCGGCGAGGGACGGCATACACCGGGACGAATTCTACAAACCCTTGGCTCGGCGTTTCCACCAACGACACATGTCAACTATGAGATGCACCAATCACGTATCCGCTAGGCGCACCTGTGCGGACTTTGCGACGGAGCGCCTTGCGCACGCGTGACGATGTAGCACGCGTCGTCGAGGGTGAGGCGCACATCTCCAGCCGCCCGCGCACTCCAGCCCTGCAACGGAAGAATTCGTGTTCGTCAAACTGGCTCATGCCTCCGACTGCAGCGAGACACACGATGATCCAGCGACCACCGGGCTGGGACATCATTGGCTTCAGAAAATGCACACCGTTTACGAAGGACCTGACAGACATTTGCATAAGCAATGCCTCAAAGACCCCAATAATTCTGATCACTGTCACGTGACCACTCGGCAGCGGTATCTTTGGCCCTCAAGAACGAAAGTCAAGGCAAGCAGTTCGACGAAACGCAGCCGAAAGCGCACTAGCAGTCGCACATCAAAAGTTTAAGGGACAAGCCAGAATCGAGGGTGAATGGACAACCTGCAAGAAAAATGTGGAATTCAAATTTTCGAAACGATACCAAAGGGATTCGACGACTAGAAGCGGCTGGGGAGACAAACGGTCAGCAGCGGGTAAACAGCAGGGGCACAAGACCAGATGCGACACAAAGCAGCAGAACAGTCTTGAAAAACAATTAGCATCCGGATGTCGCAGGTCTATGAAGCCCAGTCATATTCTCCCGAGGCCCCGTTACGTTACGCAGAGACTTGCGCACATGGGGCAAATATCACCCCGAGTCACTCCACACCATGCGACCTGCTGAACAGGCTACCACTCCTCGTGAGAATCGATGCCCAAAGAAATCTCCCCAGAATCGAAAAGGTCTCACAGGCCTCAGTAAGGGACTCTATTCGAACTTCTTGGCTCACTCTATCCAAAAGATATGCGGGGCGCTTTAATAGATCAAATCGTGGATCGTTGCCAGGATCGGCGAAGAACTAGGCAATAGAAGTCTGAATCGCAGAATCTCGGAAAGGCTTGGAACAAGACATGCAACCACAAAGGCTGGGGGACCAAGCATGCGACTTTTAAAAGCAGCTTCAAGATGCATACGCCAAGCAGCCAGCAAAGGAGAGGCGGACACCATGGCCTAACGAATGACGCCACCTCCGCTCCTAACGAATGACGCCACCGATCTAAGCTGCCGTGATTGCAAGGCTTGTCCATCACAGTGAATGCCCATGAGACATAATCAAGCAATGCGAAAGAGTCCTTGTACAAACCAGCTCAGGCTTAAAAGTTGCAGCTCTAAGTGAATTCCTGCTCAAGCTTTACTCTGTCACGGTTTCATTAGGATGGCAGCACGAGACCGCCATGGCAGACTAATGGAATTTACAAGCGAACCTTATAAGACAACAATCTCACAAAGTGAGCGTGAATTCCAGTTAAGAGGGCCGTACACATACGCTTCCTTTGCAGAACGGGATTCCTCTTTCGGGACGGAATTTCGTGAGGCGCCTCTTTTGGAGGAGATCAGCTGCATATCACCAATGCTCAACAAACACTTTGAGCCAGACAGAGGGGACTGGGATACTATGGCCACGGAAGAGTTTACCAGGATTTACCCTCATTGCCTTAGGCTGTAGCAAAACGGATATGGTCATAAGGCCACCAGCAAGAGCATCTTTGGCACTTGGATCACAAAGATCCTAAGGAGAAAGTGACACACTAAGGCAATGCAAAGACTTCACTGTTGGGAGGATGGTCCATGCCGGAGGTATCGCCCAGAGAAATTGTGAGGTTTAAGCCGTAGGTACTAGAACAGATTTCATTACAAGCGTAGCGGGTTCTCGTAGATTGGTCCCGTACCACCCACGTTCTTCAGAATCGCCGCGTGGTTGAATTGAAAAAATCGGTCACTATTTGTGAAAATAGCGATTCACGGTTCAGATAAGGTGAAATTTATTACTTGGACAGTACAATCCACTCGCATTGCTGATTCAAGACGGGTCAACGCGCGCGATTCCTCGTTGAAGTATCCGGTCAGTGTATCGTAACACGTATTGTACCGCGGCCCGCATAATTGAATGCGGGACTTTGACGCCCCGGTCAATTGAAGGACACCTCGTACCACAGGTCTCGCCTCCACCCCTCTCGTGAAAATACTGCGTTTCATTGATGGTAACGATTTGACATTTTAATGCAATGTGGAATTTGTGTAATGTGACTTGAATTTGACGTAGTGCTATCTTTCATACTGATGGGGCGGGTTTCACTAGATACGGCAATGTTCGATCGGTGGACGGGTTGGAACTTGGTAACGTGGTTACCTTTATAGTAGATACACTTGTGAACCGTTACTTCAACCGTCTTTTTGAATCATTGAGATTAACACATGTCACGCATGTGGTCATGCACCTTATGGTACACGGTGCGCGATGCCCATGCTCAAGTGACCCACTTCAGTCTATGCCTGTTTCATATTTTTTTACATTGAAGTTCACTCTCGAAACACCAGACCTTCGTCAAGACTCAAAAGCTAGCAAGTTCACTTCCTCGGCAAGGGAGGGCGAGTGTGCTTTCAAATGAGCGACGGTTGGGTTTCATGGGCCAGCGGTCCTCGTGCTTATCTTCACGTGGTTAATGCTGAGGTGTTTAACAGGTGAGTTTAATCACTTTACATGATTTCGGCCTCCGTGACCATCTCACTGTAATTTACATCATGGTGATATGCTGGCTTCTGGTGGGTCGGGAGAAATGGTCGTGCGTTGGGTGTGGGGTAAAGATGCTTGTGTTATTACACGATCTAGGTCTGGAAGGAATCTTGTCGTGATCAGTCTATTGTTGTGAGAGCTTTGACAACAGGGATGGCGCCTTAGTGTCGGCGATCACCAAGACTAAGCATCAAAAGCCCTGAGACATTTGACGAGCCAATACGACTCGGGTTTGTCTCATATTGTTTCATTGTTTAGGAAGTCGTAGACCGTTGACGAGGCATCACAGAAGTAGGTGAGTTTGCGGCGTGTGTAAACGGCAACAAACGATTTCGTGATCACTGGGTTCGAGTGAGCGCTTTGACAAGACGGCTAGATCCGGAGGTCGGCAATCACCTTCATTGGACACCGGAATCTCCGATTGAAGATTGGCATTGAAAAAACATGACAACATTTATGTGGCGGCATGCAACTTTGATCAAGAGCAAGATTGAGATGAGATATGTGAAGCATTGGGTAGTGGAAACCATGTGTTGACCTTTGTGGCTTGGTGTGTTGCGTTATTTTGAAACCAGTGAAGAAGAGGTTTTGTTTGCTATCGGTCATGCTTTTGTTTGTTGTTTCATATGTAGCAATTAAGCATTTTGAGGAGGATAACAAGACGTCGGCGAATTGCACTGCACACCATCCAACTGGGAGGGTGGATGGCTGCAAAGGAGCACGTGCACGAATGCGCGTACAAATCGATGCCGATCGGGCGGTCTTCTCGTGCACCGTCCTTTGCACCCAGACGTCCTTGAGGGCCTTATTGACGTACTCTTTCCCCATATCCGTCCGAACCGACTTGAGCTTCTTTTCGGATTGCAATTTCAACCGGTTAATCACGTGCACAGTCACCTTGGCTATTTTACTTTTCCGCTTCATAGCGACTACAACAAAGAGCTTGCTGTAGTCGTCCTTTAATGTGGCAAAGTACCGGCTCCCTCCAACCGAGGAGACCGGCATCGGCCCGCAGACATCATGTGGACCAGCTCGAGAGGCTCCATGCTCACCGACTCCGACTCCAGGAAGGAAAGCCGAGGTTGCTCCCCCATAATGCCCGGCTTACACAACGAGATTTTGAGCGCCCAAATCGCCTCCGATTTCGTGCCGACTGCTAGACTTCGGTCATTATGGTCAGCCGAATTAATGTGATTAGGCTTCGAACCGAGTTAGAGTTTCGTATCAGGAACGCCAACGTGCGTGCAGGAAGGTTAGGCGGTTGAGAGGACCGTTAGTGTGAGCCGTAGATGAGTAATACGGCACAGCTAGAGTGTGAGTGTGAGCCTAGTAGAGTGTGACTTAGGCTAGTGAGCCTAGTGGAAGAAGAGATCCGTGAGACAATAGTAAGGAGAAACACTATTGTCATATATCATTCGAAGAGAAGTTTGTGGAGAAAAGGAAGCCGCTTGTGAGGCGCTTCGAGTGTTTCTCTCAGGATGCATGGTTGCCATCAACGAATGACGAGCCTGAGTGCCGGGCACCACGATAAGACCCGATGACGAGTGAAACCTACACAAATCTAGCCCAATCTCAACACCGACATCCTCAACGAAGTTGGCTTGCACCATCTTCGCCAAGTTCTCATATCCGGCATGCCCCATCCGTCGGTGCCACAAATCGGCTGTTTCCGGCTTTTCACCGCGAACGCACAGCCTTCCCCGGCGCAGCACCCTCTCGCTCCGTTTCCGAAAGCAGCCCCTTTTGAACCACTTTTTAAAATCCTGCGTTCTCCGCTCGGTCGACCACGTAGATCCCTTTCACTTTTCGAGCTACAAGGCTTCCGCCCCGTCAACCTCAACCTCTTGGTTGCCACTTTCATTGAATGACATCAATGGACACCCTTCGCTTGGTGTTGCGCACCGCAGCTCAACCGAGCCGCTCCCCTCTGCCCACAAGGTCCCTTGGTCCCCGAACGTGAATTCTCGGCCACTCCCCCCGAACATCTCGAGGGTCTCAAATAGGCTCTTGTCCTTGGTTAGGTGATGGGAGCTACCCGAATCGACGAGCCACTCATCGGCAACTAGCCCCTCAATCACACGTAAGGCCACTCCCGTGGAAGGTTTCCCTCCCTTCTTTTGCTCCGGTATGAGCTCCCGCCAATCCGGCATGCTGCACTGCCGGGCAATGTGACCAAACCCACCGCAGTGTAGCACTTAGGCCGCCCAAATCATCCTTGCCCCGGCTCTCACCCTTGCCGTGGCTCTTCTAAGGCCTTGCTCCCTTCCCGCTGAGCTACATATGCCACAGCATAGTCCGACCCACAACCGCCTTTTCCCTTCTCCGGGCAGCTAAAACCCTTGCTCATGCACGAAGAGCTTCGGCAGAATCGCATCCACCGAGCTCAAGCCGCCCTTCGAAGCCACTAGGATCAATTGTTCTTATGGTACTAAACGAGCTCGGCAATCAGACCGCAAGCACGCTCCAAGCCAGCTCATCCGACTTCAGCTCGAAACCGGTAGCTGTCAAGTATTTAAGCAAAATGTTTGCCTATATGAAACACACCAAGCGTCTCACGAGCGGCTTCCCTCTCTCCAATATTAAAATCACACGCCCATGCTTGGAACCTACGAGGAATTTAGCGACCCTAACACACAAGCGTCTTCACAAAAAGAGCGCTCTAACTCTCACCAAACATCTCTTAGTAAGAATATCAATCACATAACAATGGTTCAAGTCAAGTCTAATCCCGTAACTAGGTCTACTCCAACCTAGTCCAGGTTTACCATAACCCGTAGATACGTGGATACTATAATCGACGGCCTGGCTTCAATCACTCCAACCAACTACGATCGAAAGGTCCACACAAATCCGGTCTTAATCTCTTGCATCTACCTTTTCAAGGCTCTTATCTCCTAGGTTCTTCCAAATCTGTTCGGGCTTGATCTGCCAACCACTTGAGCTATTCGGTCTTCATCTACCAAGCAAACAATCCCTTTCATCTTAGTCCCTCAAGCACTCAACTTCTTTTATCTTAACTTGCCAAGAACTCCGCTCCTCGTATCTTCGTCTATCAAGCACTCAATCCTTTTTATCTTAATTTGCCAAGCCCTTTATCCCTTCTCAATTAATCTGCCAAGTCTTCAACTTCTTTCATCTTAATGTGTCAAGCCCTCACTCTCTTTCATCATAATCTTACAAGTAGTTAGTCTTTTTGTCCTTGATGTCCACACTTTGTCCGTCAACCAACTTTAATCTCAACACAACCCGTCTTTTAGAATGACATATGACACGAGTGTTTCTTCTCACTATCGTCCCACGGACCTCTCCTTCCACTGGGCTTAACAGCCTACTTAGATTCACTAAGGATGTGTCACACACCAGTAGGCCACTAGCCTGGATCACACTCACATGAGTCCTAGCATCGGACATCTTCAACTACGGCTCACATTGACGGTCCTCTCAACCGCCTAACCTCCAAGGCATCACCGCACAACTGCTGTGCACGCACGCCGGCGCTCATGGATTTAAACCCTAACTCGGGCCGAACCTTGACTACAAAAATTTGGCGGACTTAATCACCGTTCAATAGCACAACCTCAACGGATTAAACGGTCTGCTCAGTCATTCTGGCCATCTCGCCTGTTTGCTCAAGGGGACTCCAAGCCCGGTTGTTGGTTTCGTCCACAAGCGTGGCGAAGTATTAGTGCAAATCAATCGGCAAGTGCTAGATTGGCTATATACACAACCTTTCATTCTTGGACCAACTGTCGGACGGAGCCGAGCAATCCGACTCTCAAAGATTCATTGCGGCACCGTTGGTGGGTCTATACACGATAATTGGATTGAGTTGCTCAGCGAAGCCGATTTGCTTACAATCCTTCGTGGCATGGAGAAAAGATTAGCCAAGGATGCTTCGTGTTGCGACAATATTGGTAAAGAAGCGGTCTTTCTCACTTGTAGCCATTGAGTATGCAACACGTGCAATCCGCAAGAAACAAACCACTGAGTCTCCAAAGGTTCCAATCTTCGGAAGCTCCAGATTTAGTAGGCGCAAAGCTCGAGCGCTACTTCCCCGGAGTCAGCGTCAAAGAAGGCATGCAGCGCTGCTGCTTTGGCGCTTTCCTTGGGGACAAATGCCTTGTTTGTCCTGGGATTGACGAACCGTCGGCCGAACGGGCCCTCTTGCACCGACTTCGGCTCGGAAGGCAAGCTGAACCCAGGCGGAAACACCGCCAGTTCCTGCGTCTCGGAGTAACAATGTTCTGTCGAAACGCATACGCAACTTGCATCTCGCAGTGATTGACCCGAAACAAAATTGGTGACATAGATCAAATAAATATGGAACGAATCAACGACCTTTTTCGATGTAGGGCAAACTGTCACAAGTTGTCGAAAGTTCTTGCAAGACCGGACGTCTTAGTCGAGCACATGTAAGTTTGGCAGGGGAGATGACACTTCTTCGAACTTTAGTGCTTGATAAGAAAGGATGTCAACGGCCCTGAGCAACACAACGAGAGTGTAAATGTCGCCGAGGATTAAGGTCCGTATGCTGGTTCCTCCAGATGATTCACCTAACAGATCCGCGTTTCATATTCGGGTTGCCAACCCCGGGCGGGGGTTTATAGCTGGAATAGCGTGAGATGTGAGAGCAGCACTTAACATAGGAGTCCGAGCGGAGGCTGAGGCGCACTACTGGCGTATCTTCCCTAGACTGCACTCTTCTCGACCGCTTCGCTTCGATTCTCATTGCCCTATACGGCAACCGCTATCAGCTTCTATATGCGTAACTTGTCTCGCCTACATAGCGAGTCTTGCATGCTGGGGCATCACGACAGCGTAAGGATCCGGAACAATGATTTGACGCCCCGATTGCATCGTGAAGCTTAACCAAAACTGATTTCCATCCGTCCACCGCTCCATAGAAAGTGAGAATATGTAGGAA